GTTAAAGAAAATTTGTAAGAAAATGCCTCGAGCTATTACAATTACATTTTGGGTACAGTAGACAAGTTCTGTTGTTAAAGCCGCAAAATCTGACTTCCTCAGAAGTCTTCTGTTTTTTGTCATCAAAAAAGAATTATTATTCTTTGGTACTTTGAGACAACAGACAGCCCATCCCAACCCCAATCTTTTGTTCTTTTCCTTCTTTCTTTTTTTTTTCTTTTTTTTTTCTTTTTTTTTTGGGGGGGGGGGTACTATTCTTTTTATCAAAGTCCCATTTTGTCCAAACCACGAAAGTATCGTTCAGTGCACAACACATGTAAATCTCACAAAGACATTGTATGGGGCACAAGCAAGACATGTTAACTTGAGTATGCTTCACAGATGCTCACCCCAGTGGCTGCAGACCCTTATTTCCAAAATGTTTCTTAATTTTTTTCCTCTACGCTCACAATATAATGGATTGCACATTGGATACATATGAAGTCATGCACCAGTACATTTTTTGGAAAAAAAAATAAATACTTCAAAGAGTCTTTTTAAAATTATTTAAAGGGACACTTTTTGTTGTAGCATGAGCAACCTTTGGAAAAACAGTCAATATGAATAAGGGCTCTGGTCTTGTTTAGATGTAAAATCTTAGGGAGTTCATTTGAAATAATAGATGCTAGCCAGAATGTAAACAGTGGAGTTGGCTTTTGTCTGAGATCCGACACTATATTTTCTTTATCTTTCTTACTTCTTTGGAGAGTCACACTTTTAAGGGTCACAACAGTACTGTTGTACTTATGACACTGAAGTAATAAAAAAAGCAACTATTTGTACCTTATTTCATATTATGAATATACACTATTGAAAATTTCAGATTACAGTGCTACTCTTATGAGACAAATACAGAAGCAGGCAAAATTAAATCATTTCCTTTAATTCCCCTCACCCCGTCAGATACAGTGCTTATTTTGTACACCAAATAATTTTTCATCACGGCATGATTATTTTGTTCGACATTTATAAAGCTAATATAAAAATTCTTGACAGAATCTTCATTGGAATCGGCATGCTTTTTTATAAGTTGAAAAATCACCGCCATCATGATTTTATCCAGATTAGGCTTGCCAGACATCCTTTATATACTGGATATGTCTTGCATTGGATAATTTTGTCTCCTGTCCCGTACTAACCTTTCGAGGGACAATCCAAAATCTCCCGTATTTAGTTCATTTTCAAATTTCGTAATAAAAATATATTTTTACTACCTTCTTACGGTTCTTGATTGAAACTTACTGCAAAATACATCTTTGATATGAGTAAAGCCCACAAAACCTATAACCGCCTCCTCTCTTTTATTTCTTTCTTTTTTCTTCTTTTTCTCGAAAAAAGAGGTTGCATTTCGCTTTTAAATCTCAATAAATCGTTCATTTACCAGTCATTTACAATCGCCTGATGTGTTGATACGCTTACAAACACGACTGGAATTGTGTAGCGATTTTCACATTTTTCTTATTTTCGATGTAATATCCTAAAAAAAAAGACTATTGCTCTACTTTGCATTGAGCCATCTTTTAAATTAAATGTTATGAACTAAGGAATTGTACTCTATTCATTCTCATCTTACATATATACATACGTACATATATATATATATATATATATATATATATATATATATATATATATATATATATATATATATATATATTTATTTAAATTTTAAATTTTTTATCTTATTTCCTAACATCTCCAAATTGATGAGGTCCACAAGAAAATCTGTCGATTGAAATAACTATTTTCCAAATGAGGTAGTTTTTGGATTTTTAATCTATGTATTTTGCATGCTCTATTAAAACAAATATATAGAGCTCTTTTTGTATATCAGTTTTAATATTCCATATTATTAGGATTCACTTGGATTATATATATATATATATATATATAAATAGAGAGAGAGATTTTCAGAGTGTCCCATATTTCTAATTTTATAATCTGGCACCCGTATCCCATAAGGTACTTGAATTTTACAAAAAAGTACATTTATTTATGTAGTGATAATATCATTTTTTTTTTTACTTTAATATGATTATGCATTTTTGAACAACTGTACATGTTAAAACAGTATGTTTTTTAGAAAGTCATCTGGATATAGACGATCATGGCTCTCCACAGATTTAATTTCTTTATTATCTTTAAATTGCCATGACATCTTAGAAGAATAGTGAATTGGTTTTCCATTGCCTTCTCCATGTTTCTGAATTCAGAGTTGTCCTTCTTCCAGAGTAGCTATCAACCAAAATCTCGATCTACTTTGCTATTTAAGAGATGATGGAAGTAAATGAGATGGATTCATGCCTTTCCTGAGGGCATTAGTACGAAAGTCAATTCAACAGACTAGGCTGTGACTTGAAATCAGCTCATCAACTGCACTTTCCACACCAATAACAGTTACATGACCCAAACAGCACAACAATACTGATATTATTTTATAAGAGGTTTTTAATTTACTTCATGTTAAAAGACTGTATTTTTTTCCATATGGATATATTTTTAAAGGTTCTTTAAAACATTTTTTACCTTATTTCATATTACGAATATGCATTTTTGAAATATTTTATATTTTATATTGATATTTTAATGCTAATATTATTTAATAAGAAACAGGTTTTTCTTATTTTAGACTCAGAATATACGTTTCTAAAAACTGTAAAAAGACCGCATTAGAATATTTTTAGGTGAATATTAAAAGAGCATGGAACAAACTAGTAGGGGAAAATATGATTTATAAATTTCTATATAGCAGAACAATGTTGAGAAATTTAATGACAAGAAGGAAAAAAATATTCTATGTAACATGTTTCATCCTTTAAAGAGCCTTCATCAGTGTGATGAAGTCCTTTTAGAGAACGAAATACATTACATAGAATTTTTTCATCTTGTCATTCAAAGAAAGAATAGGAAAAAATGCTTTAAGAAAGAAATGAATGATTTTTCCAGCATACAAACACCTGTATATAAAGATTCCTCTTTGCAAAAATTCATGAAACATGTAGATGATAAGCGTCTGGTAAATCAGAGCAGACCTGGAGAAGATGAGTTACAATAAGGAGACAGCCAAACTGAGTTACAATAAGGAGACAGCCAAACTGAGATGAGTTACAATAAGGAGACAGCCAAATTGAGATGAGTCCTGCTGAAAACAGTGTCCATTCGTACAGTTAAAGTCCTCAGGCTCCTATACAAGGAACCAGCAAGAATAAACATCTAAATAAACATCAAGTAATTGGTTAGGGGATTTTGTAAGATATATTCATATAACCTTTGACACACCTGAAGCCTTTTCGGGATAAGCAATGTAACCTTTGACCGAGAATATATTTACTAAGTTTTGTACAATTCTTTTTTTCTTCTTTTATGTGATGTGTGCTTTCAGCACGTAGGTGATCATGGCCCTCCACCTCCTCCTATCCCTTTAACTCTTAATAAGTTTTGTCATCTTCATTGCCATATTCACAAGGACACATGGCCCAGTGGATAAAGACGTTGGTTAGATCCAGTGACTAGCTTCTAGTGATATAATGGCTGTCTATATCTCTGAGATGAGGTATTATGATTATTTACATTATTTACATTATTCGGACTGTTATCCTCATCTTCATTGCTATATATACAACGTTTCGACCATTGTACACTCTGGCCTTCTTCAGGTGATTGTAATTTTGAACCGAACCCTTTATCTTTTTTATCATACACCAGGATAGATTGTTCTAGTTCCACATGCCATGCCTCTTTCAGATGTCTCAGTTATTTCCTCAAGAACACATGGCCCAGTGAATAAAGATATTGGTTAGGTCTAGTGGCTAGACACAAAGAGTTGTGACTTAAATACCAGGCCAAAGCAGTGATGAACCAAAAAATTTGGAGAGTTGTTTTAAAGGGAAATAACTGAGACACCCTGAAGAGGCATGACACGTGGAACTAGAACAATCTAGCTCGTTGGACGAAATAAATTGTTCGGTTCAAAATTCCAATCACGCGAAGAAGGCCAAAGCGTACAACAGCCAAAACGTTGTGTATATGGCAATGAAGATGAGGATAACTGTCCAAATAATGTAAATAATGCAAGTAACATTGTCTTACTTAAAAAACGAATTTAAGTTCTTTGTTATGTGTCGAAATGGAACATCAGAGTCAAGATCGTGTTGTCTTTATTTAGTAGGCTATGAAATATGGTAATTGCCTGCAGTTCCTTACCAGTCTTGACCAATCACAACTTTTCTTACCCCCCATAAAAGAAAGCTTACTTTGGACGACAGGAGGGTGAAGAAGGTAGTAGTGCATTGTAAGCTGTGATGTGGATTTCAGATCTCTTTTACACCCTTGGTATTTTCTGATATTGGAGTTATAAGACTGATTTATGACTGCTGGAATTACGAGGTCAGACTTATGAGTTTTGCAATCTAAACTTCCCTATTGCTATTTACCTCAGCACAAATAACATGTTCACAATTGCTACCATCAAGTAAATAACATTTTTGTGTGTACCGAGAATGCATGTTTTGCCAAATGAACATTTCTTTTAGATATATTGCTCAGTCAGAGGAAAGATGTTAACCAACCCTTTAGGCTATAACTTAAAGAGTTGGTTAGCAGCTATCTTCTAGAATTTCTTTCAGTTGTAAAAATTCCTGTTTTCTCAAATTCAGGAGGTGTTAAAGATGTTATATTCAATGGCATCCACCTAATTCACCATCTTTTCGACGAGCAGAGTTTCTTGAGTCTCAAATAAAAAGGCAAATCAAACAAAATACCAAAATGTCAGTTCCATACACCCACCATCAACATTCTTACACTTTTCTTCTGTAGTTGTTAGGAAAGAAAACATTTGGCTACAAAATTCCTGGCTTTCATAAATTACTCAACTTCGAAATAAATAAATAAAATTTAACATCTTTTTTTTATTTTTGTTTTTGTATTTTTTTATTTAAACTTTTAAATCTTGACAAGGATTCATGATAGGTTTTCTTCGGTCAATATTTTCATTCAAGTTTTTCTTTCGTTTTTCTTTTTCTTTAATTTCCTTGTCCGTTCATCTATTTTTGTCCATTATTGTTTATTTTTTATTCTTTCTTTTTTCTTCATTTCTTTTTCTTTCTTTTTACTTTCTTTTTCATTTTCTTTTTTCTTTATTCCTTTCTTTCTCTTTATTTCTTTTTACTTTGTTCTTTACTTCTTTTTCATTTTTTTATTTCCTTCTTTTTCTTTTGTTTCTTTTTTCTATATTTCTTTTTTCTTTCTTTTCTCTTTTCTTTTTCTTTCTTTCTTCTTTATTTCTTTTTCTTTCTTACTTATGTCTTTTTCTTTTCTTTATTTCTTTCTTTTTTCTTTCTTCTTTTTTCTTCTTTTTTCTTTTTTCTTTTTTCTTTCTTCTTTTTTCTTTCTTCTTTTTTCTTTTTTCTTTTTCTTTCTTCTTTTTTCTTTCTTTCTTTTTTCTTTCTTTTTTCTTACTTTCTTCTTCTTTCTTCTTTTTTCTTTTTTTCTTTCTTTTTTCTTTCTTTCTTTTTTTCTTTCTTTCTTTTTTCTTTCTTTCTTTTTTCTTTCTTTCTTTTCTTTTTTCTTTCTTTTTTCTTTCTTAATTTCAGTTTTGATTTCCTCTTACATTTTTTTTGTTGTTTTTCCTTTTTTTTTCTTTTGGCTTTTTTTCAGTTTTTGCTTTTTCTTTCATTCCATTTTTTCTTTGATTTTTTTTTAAACCCTCAAAATAAAAGCTTGCTGACATGTTTTCTTCATTATCATTTTCATTCAAGATTTTTTTATTTCCTTTTCTCTTTTACTTTTTTCTTTTCTTTTTTTCTTCAGTCATTTTTGCCCCTAATTAGTTTACCCATTTTTTTCTAATCTTTATTTTTAAACTTTTTTTTTTTGCTTTTGGTTTTCTTTCTTTCCCTTTTCACATTTTTTTCTTGCATGTTTTGCTTCTTTATTTTTATTTTCCTGTTTTAATCCATTCTTCTTCTTTTTCCTTTTACCATTATTTTTTTTTATTTCTGATATTTTCATTTATTTTCTTGTTTCTTTCGTTTTCTTCTCCCACCATGTTTCTCTTTCTTCTTCATTTCCACTTTGCCTTCTTTTTTCTCATCTGTGTTTTTTTTGTCCTTTATCTTCTTCTTCTTCTTGTTTCTGATTTTTCTTTCAGGAAATTTCAAATGCAGCATGAATCTCTGGCACTCAAATCTGTTAATTGTTCTCTCTTTAATAATACCATAAGTTATTAACTTATTAATTATCAAAGACAACATTCACCATTTTTACAAAATGTAAAAATTTCAACTCTCTACCAAATCTAAATTATTGTGACAAGGATATAGGCTTATGGCCACATTATGTTGAAATACCAGTTCTCATAAAATCACCAAAGTTAAGCATCATCAAGCCTGGTCAGTACTTACAGATTGTACATATGCAGAAGGCTGTAGAATGGATTTTCTGAAATTTTGTGGTAACAACAGAAAGGATGGAATTATTAGTCTTGGACAACTCTTGGAAGGATAATAGTAACAACAGTGATAATATTTTGTCCAGGAAACAATTTCTTGTCAAATCAGAGAAATAAGGAATTATACAAATTGATTCTTTCAAAAAAGTTTTTTTTTTTAAAAAAACAACTACATTGATTTATACTCTCCAAAAATGTCTTCTTGTTCTTATTTACATTATTTACATTCAGATTATTGTCCTCATCTGTCATTCAAATTATTGTCCTCATCTATCATTCAGATTATTTTCCTCATCTGTCATTCAGATTATTTTCCTCATCTGTCATTCAGATTATTGTCCTCATCTGTCATTCAAATTATTGTCCTCATCTATCAAATTATTTTCCTCATCTGTCATTCAGATTATTTTCCTCATCTATCATTCAGATTATTTTCCTCATCTGTCATTCAGATTATTTTCCTCATCTGTCATTCAGATTATTTTCCTCATCTGTCATTAAGATTATTTTCCTCATCTGTCATTATTTTTCCTCATCTGTCATTCAATTATTGTCCTCATCTGTCATTCAAATTATTGTCCTCATCTGTCATTCAGATTATTTTCCTCATCTGTCAGATTATTTTCCTCATCTGTCAATTATTGTCCTCATCTGTCATTCAGATTATTGTCCTCATCTGTCATTCAGATTATTTTCATCTATCATTCATTTTCAGATTATTTTCTCATCTGTCTATTATTGTCATTCATTATTGTGTCATTCAGATTATTTTCCTCATCTGTCATTCAGATTATTTTCCTCATCTGTCATTCAGATTATTTTCCTCATCTGTCATTCAGATTATTGTCCTCATCTGTCATTCAAATTATTGTCCTCATCTATCATTCAGATTATTTTCCTCATCTGTCATTCAGATTATTTTCCTCATCTGTCATTCAGATTATTTTCCTCATCTGTCATTCAGATTATTGTCCTCATCTGTCATTCAAATTATTGTCCTCATTATCATTCAGATTATTTTCCTCATTTATTGTCCTCCAACTTTCATTATTACCCTTAACTATCATTCAGATTATTGTCATTATCACACATTTTGGCTACTATACCCTTCAGCCATAATCAGGAGTTTGCCAATCCAGGTAACCATCTGGTGATTTTCAATCTGAACCATTTATTTAATCTACTAGCAGATTGTTCACATTCCCCTATCTATATCTATGAATATTTCATCATCTTTTTAATAGAGCTCAGTTATTGCTCATTAAGTTTCCACTAAGTTTAAATCTTTACTACTCAGCCCAGGGATTGAACCAACAATTGCTCACAATTCACAAACCAATCCACTAGAGCTACATTAAAAAAAAAAAAACGTTTTTAAATGTCTAAAAACGTTTTATTTTCTGTCTGAAAATGATTGTTACTTCATACCCTTCAAAAATGTTTTGAAAACAGCAACATTACTTCATATCCTCTAAAAATGTTTTTTTTTATTTTCTGCCAGAAAATGTTTGTTACTTCATACCCTTCAAAAATGTTTTTTTAAAGCAGCTACCTTACTTCATATCCTCTAAAAATGTTTTTTTTTTTCTGATTGAAAATGTTTGTTACTTCATACCCTCCAAAAATCCTCGTAAAACAGCAACATTACTTCATACTTTTCAAAAAATGCTTTGTTTGAAAACAACTATAAACACTTTATACTCTCTAAAAATGGTCTTTTTGTTTACAGTTTTCTCTTTGGAAATAATTGTTGCTTCTGACCCTCTAAAAATGTTTTTTCAGTCTTCTGTTTAAACGTATCAATGTTACTTCATACCCACTAAAAATATTTTTAAAACAGCTACATTACTTCATAACCTCTTTTAATGATTTTAAAGTTTTCTCCTTGAAAATATCTATGTTATTTCATACCCTTCAAAAAGAATAATCCACCAAAATAGAAAAAGTTAAAACACAAATAAATTCTTCTTTAAATTTTGAAAAGCATCCATTGGTACACAATTCCTAGATAGAAGTATCCATGTATGATTATGACAAATGGGGAAAAATATCACCCTCACAAGCTACAGAGTCTCTGTATTAATATCTTTACTTCCTGCCCCTAAGGTCTGAAGAAAAAAATCTGTGAGGGAAACAAATACATCGTTGTTCTTCTGTTTTGAGGCATTGGTTGTTCCTGTCACCACTGCTGATTTTAATGATGTTTGTCTTGGAAAAGAATCCATTTTGAATGTTGGTTTTGCTAACATTTGCACAATTCTTTTTTTGTTGGGGACAGAATCATCGATATCTATCCACTCTCCTAACCCCTTACCTGTTAGGCATAGAAACGTCTTGGATATTGTTACATAGTTTAGGAAGAACACTCATTCTTCCTCCGATTTCTTTGTATAAACTAAATAAATGTTAAAGCTGGCATTGAAGTGGTACTGTTTATCTAAATACACTCTGTCTCATTTTCTTTTGCTGCTTGTTCTTTGCTTGCTTGATTTAGTGACATCAACAAAAATGATTCTACATGAATACATTATTGAATTGCTATGAACAACATAACCATATATATATATATATATATATATATAATTGGAATTAAGATACCATTAGTTAACTAATGGTATCTTAACTCCAATTGCATGAAAATAATTTTGCTCTGTTTAATGACAATAACCACTGAGCATTCTGTGAGTCAGATTTAACAATTAATATTTCAAATTCTATATTGTGTTAATAGAACTTGCTTGGATTATACCAACAGATTACTACCTGTACACACACACGCACACACACACACACACATATATATATATATATATATATATATATATATATATATTCTGTTTATACGTTATTTTTATGGATACAACTTATTTGAATGAATGCTCTGTTTTAATTAAACAGTATTAATTACATTTACCAGCCTAAATGTTTAAGAAATTGTAGAAAATATGCATTTTTTAACAGGAATGAAATCTTTATCCCATACAAAAAGTGTCATATAGCCTGACATGTTGTTTAACCATTCATCCACAGAGAACTTTCCAGTTAACAAAATAAGAATTTAATATATATATATATATATAATATGTATATATATATATATATATATATATATATATATATATATATGTATATATATGTATATATATGTATGTATATATATATATATGTATATATATATATGTATGCATATATATACATACATGCACATGCACATATACATACGTATACATACGTATACACATACACATACGTACACACATGTATACACACACATACATATAGCATACACACACTATATAACGTACGTACACATACGCACACACACACATGCATGTATATATATATGCACACACATATATATATATATGTATATATATGTATGTATATATATATACACATACGTATGTGTATATATATGTGTATGTATATATATATGTATGTATATATATATATGTATGTATATATATATATGTATGTATGCATATATATATATGTATGTATATATATATATATATATGTATGTATGTATATATATATATACCTATGTATGTATATATATATATATATATGTATATATATGTGTATGTATATATATATGTCTGTATGTATGTGTATATATATGTATGTATATGTATGTGTGTATATATGTGTATATATGTGTATGTATGTATATATATATATATATATGTGTGTATGCATATATGTATCTACATATATATGTATGTATATACATATACATGTATGTACATATATGTGCATGCATACATACATATATATGTATGTATATATGTATGTATATATGTATGTGTATATGTGCATGTATGTGTATGTATATATGTATGTGTATACACATATATACATGTGTACATGTATATGTACACATATATATATATATGCATATGTATGTATATATATATCTATGTATATATGTATATATATATATATCCATATATATATATGTGTGTGTATATATATGTGTATATATATGTGTGTATGTGTATATATATCTATATATATATGTATGTGTATATATATATATTCATATGTATATATGTGTGTATGTATATATATGTATATATATATATGTATATATATATCCATATATATATATATATGTATATATATATGCATATATAT